CAGGTGGAAATGTCACAACCTGCCATAAGACAACAGCTCAGAGCAAAGAACAAAGCAGCCCAAACCCAGTTGTATGTGGATGAGCGCGGAGAACTCACAGGAGAGGCAAGGCTGGTTTCAGTTCTCGCCCGCCCTGGATCAGTTGTCTCCACCTGAATTTCATATTCTAGGCTTTAACATTTGTTGATGATAATACCCGGAGCTGATGAGGCTGCAGAGACACAGGGAACTGATGCATTGCTGGGAGTAGCATGTTTCTAGAGATTTCCAACAATACTGATTGTCTCAGGCTCCAGGAGCCAGTGGCAGAAAATCCAGCTCAAACTTGGGGCAACTGTTGGCTTACATACCTGAAAAGTCACGAAGCAGATGGCTTTGGAAACTGCTGGATCTAGGGGTTCAAAAATATCTTCAGAACCTGCACATCCTAAACTGTGCAGGAAAAAATAGTTAATGGTAGTTTATGTTATGTGTATTTTACCACAATCGAAAAATTAAAGACCAGACACAGTGGCTCAAGCCTGTAATCCTAGCACTTTGGGAGGCAAAGGCAAGCAGATCACTTGAACCCAGGAGTTCGAGACCAGCCAGGGCAACACAGGAAGATGCCCGTCTCTACAAAAAAATACAAAAATTAGCCGGGTGTGGTGGCATAGGCCTGTGATCCCAGCTATGTGGGAGGCTGAGGTGGGAGGATCATCTGAGCCTGGGGAATTTGAGGCTGCAGTGAGGCATGCTCATGCCACTGCTCTCCAGCCTGGGGGACAGAATGAGACTCCTTCTTAAAAGAAAAGAAAAATGTAAAACAAAACAAAGCAAAAAACGTGCACAATGCCATGTCCCACCTTAGGCCTTAGGTGGCTGCCTCCAATTGGAATGCAATCTCCTTACATCATTCAAGTTGCTCAAATGTCAACTCTTCAGGGGCCCCCTGAAGGCCAGGCCAAAATAGCCACCCTCCATCAGCTACTCGATCTCACCCCTATAAGGTGTTTTTCCTCATTGCAGTTGCCACTTTCTGGAGCAATCCTACTTACTCACCTGTTTACATGTGTACTTATTGGGTTTAGGGCCTGATTCTCCCTGCTAAGATGTCAGCACCATGAAAATAGGGACTTTGTCTTGTTCATGGCTGTTTCCCTAGGGCCAGGAATGGGCTTGGCACAGAATGGGGCTTATCAATAAAGGCAGGAGGGGTAAATGAAGGAAGATTCTCTCTGCCTCCCTTGGTGCTCTCTTTTTGTGTTGGCACCATCTTCATCTCCCTACACAGTGGCAAATTGGCTGCAGGCAGCTACGAAGTTCACAGCCAATATTACATCCTGGTCAATATTACATCAGTGAGATTACATCTTCAGTCCTGGGACGTCCTCACAGCTCCAAGTTTAAGGGGAAGAAAGAGCATTGCTAAGTGTCCATGGTTGCAAATCATTGGCTCTGACTCAGTCACGTGACATTCCTTGACCTAATCCCTGTAAAGCAGAGATGCAGTGCTCCAATTGGCCAGGCCTGATGCCCCAAGTCCATTCTGGGATAGAAAGTCATCTCAGTCCCACTGAAGCTGCACATGGGCATGGATGGGGGCTTCTCAGGAGAAAATCAGTGAGCCAGTGGCTGGAGGATGGGACACAGAAGTGGGGCAGGCACATCTGGCCAAGGCCGCAAATGTCTCAGACACACCAGGTTTTGTAACAGGTTATGTCTGTATCCCCCCAAATTCCTATGTCAAAGCCCTAACCCCCAACATGATGGTTTGAAGATGGTCAAAAGTAACCTCTGCCTGGTGCGGTGGCTCATGCCTATAATCCCAGCACTTTGGGATACTGAGGCATGTGGACCATTTGAGGTCAGGAGTTCAAGACCAGCCTGACCAACATGGTGAAACCCTTTCTCTACTAAAATACAAAAATTAGCCAGGTGTGGTGAGGCACACCTCTAATCCCAGCTACCCAGGAGGCTGAGGCAAGAGAATTGCTTGAACGCAGGAGGCAGGGTTGCAATGAACCAAAATCACGCCACTGCACCCCAGCCTTGGTGACAGAGTGAGACTCTCTTTAAAAAAGAAAAAGTAACCTCAGTCCCATGGTCACGAAGGTGGAGCCTCATGAATGGATTAGTGCCCTTATCAAAAGGACCCCAGAGAGCTCTCTCTTGCCTTCTTTCTGCCATGAGGACACAATGAAAAGTTGGCATCCAAAACCAGAAGAGTGGCCCTCACCGGGACCCCTGCTGGTGCCCTGATCTCAGCCTCAGCCTCCATAACCGTGAGAAACAAACTGTTATGGTTTATAGGCCACCTAGCTGATGGCGCTTTACCACGGCAGCCAGAGGGCCTAAGACAAGGCTCTGGAGAATCCAAGATAGATAAAACTTTAACAAACATTTGCCGAATGAGGACAACGCAATCTCTGACGGCTCAGAAGAGCAGGGAGACAGATCTGTGTTGTCACAGGACGTGTTTACGCTGAGGGAAGAGAGGGCTGTGGGGGCACTGTGTCCCTCCCTGTGCGCTGTGCCCAAGGCCAGGGACCTGCCTGACCCAAGGATTCCACAAATTTACTCAAAAGGAGAATAAACGATCATGCTCAAGAACAGTCATTGCGGCATTATTTGTAATAGAGCAAAACTGGAAACAACCCAAATGTTCCCCAGTAGGGAACTGGTTAACTAAATTATGAAACATCCACTTGATGAAATATTCTGGAGTGGTTAAAAATGATCGTTATGAAAACTACAGAGCAAAAAGGGAAAAGGCGTCTGTTCTAACACACAGTGACAGCACAGAATCCCAAACTGTGACTGCGAGAGGCACAAACCACGCGCCCGGCTCTGCTTGGGATACAAGAGACTTGTGGGAGCCCTCCTGCCCCCAGGAAGCTCCTGGTGCAGTCAGGGCTGGAGAGACATGAAAACAAGGAACAACCCGTGGGGTGAGAAGGTCAAGGATGGGCAGAGAGACTAGGAGTGACTCACGGTCCAGGAAAGCTGCGCTGGGACATGTCCCGTGAGCTAGATTTTATGGGGAGTAACTACCAGGATTGGAGCTATGGGCATTTTAGGAAAAGGGCTTGAAGGCAATATACATGCAAAAATAAAAATAAAAATAGTCGTGCCAGGTAGAATTATGGATGTTTCCCCATTTTTTCCAAAAAGTTTTCATGTTACATTGTTTTTACAATAAAACTAGTTGAAAACTAAGGTCAGATATGGGTGAATACCTTTCACTACCAACATTCGTGTCTATAAATCATAGTTAAGTTCATAAACACTTTATTTTCTCGACAGAGCAGGGAAGTGAAGAAATACTTATTGGACATTTTGCAAAAAGTATATCTGTACTGTTTGCAAGTTGCCTGGTCCTGGACTCCACAGTGAAGGGGTGAGGCACTTAAGCTTCTAGCAAGGAGAACAGGCATTTGTATGAAATAAGAAATGTTTTATAAAATATTTAAATATCGTCTGGAGATAAGCATGGTGGCCAAAGGCATCCTACAGGTGTTGGAGCGTGGAGCTGGCTGAAACAGAGGAGGAGCAGAGATGACAAGGCAGATGGAGAACTGGAACCCAGTGGACTGGGTAAGCTGATGCTGTGATCCACAGCGTGGGCCTTGGCTACAGCTTGAAGCGTGCCCCCTCCAAAATGCATGTGGAAACAGAATCCCTACTTCGGGGATATTAAGAGTTGCGTGCCTTGGGGAGGGATTAGGTCATGAGGGCGCCACCCCATGAATGGATTCTAGGGAAGTAGCTGAGGCCCTTTTTGCCCTTCTGCTCTTCTGCCATGTGAGGACACAGTGTTCATTCCCTGTGGAGGATGCAGCAGCCAAGCAGTCTGGTGGAAGCAAAGACTAGGCCCTCGGCAGACTTGACTGGGGGCTTCCCCACCTCCAGAGCTGTGAGAAAGAAACTTCTGTTCTTTACCAATTACCCAGTTGGGTTTCTTTGTTATAGATACAAAAATGGACTAAGATGCTTGCCTGGTTAAGGGACAAAAGGTTAAGGGCCCAGGATTGGGAAGGGCGGGAGAGGGTCTGTCTGGAGAGGCAGAGCAGGGCAGAGGTCATGAGAAGTTTGCAGGTGGGGAGGCCTCCTTTGGGGAGGTTCCAGGAGCAGCTTCCAAAGGGCTGAGCAGCTCCCAAATGCACTGCCCTGACCCCAAGCCTGCCACTAGCCAGTTGTGTGAATCACTCAGGGCTCTTCGTTGACCATGGTCCAAAGCCTTTGAAGAACCCAGCTGGTGGGAACAAGGCTGCCAGCACCCTGCCTGTTCCCATCTTCTCAGCTTGCATGCAGCATGGTCCCTGCAGCTACCCTGCCCCAAAGGTCCTCCCCGACTCCTGCTTCTTTGCTCACTAGCTCCTAACCAGATCTGGGGTGGGAGCGTCTTTTTTTTTTTTTGAGATGGAGTTTCGCTCTTGTTGCCCAGGCTGGAGTGCAATGGCGTGATCTCAGCTCACAGTAACCTCTGTCTCCCAGGTTCAAGCGATTCTCCTGCCTCAGCCTCCTGAGTAGCTGGGACTGTTACAGGTGCCCACCACCATGCCAGGCTAATTTTTGTATTTTTAGTAGAGATGGGATTTCACCATTTTGGCCAGGCTAGTCTCGAACTCCTGACCTTGTAATCCACCCACCTCAGCCTCTCAAAGTGCTGGGATGAAAGGCATGAGCCGCCGCGCCTGGCCGGGGTGGGAGCGTCTTACTAGCTGGGCCTGGGCATAGACTCCCAGCCTAGCTGCTAGTAATGACAGGAAAGTATGTATGTGGCATTGTCAGTTTCTACAGGGGTGGTGGGCTCAGCCTCATAAAGTGAGGACTGCCCCTACACAGGAGGGGGGTCAGATGTTCTGCACCTGTTCATCTCTATTGGAAGCCCTAACTCTTACCACCCCCAGTACCTCCTTTGTAAGCTGTGGAGGGTGAGATATGATGGCAGCCCAGCACTCACTAAAACTACAGCGAATACATTTTTAAATTTTATTTTTATTTTTTAGTGACAGGGCCTTGCTTCGTAATTGAGGCTGGCGTTTAGAGGTGCAGTCATAGTTCCACAGTCTCCACCTCCTGGGCTCCATTGATCCTCCCACCTCAGCCTTCCAAGTAGCTGGGACTCCGGGAGTGCACCATCATGCCCCGCTGCTTGTTTTATTTTTGTGGAGATGGAATTTCACTGTGTCACCCAGACTGATCTCAAACTCTTGGTCTCAAGGGATCCTCCCACCTCAGCCTCCCAAAATGTTGGGATTACAGGCATGAACCACTGCATCTGGACAGCAAATCATTTTTTAAAAGACATCAACTTGATAAGAAAGATATCGGGAAGAGATGACAGCAACACAATACTGGAAGTTGGGGACAGAGGGATGAGTGATACCTGACAGAGAGGGCTCAGTTAGATAGGACCTTAGGCTATTTGATTCTCTATAAGAGATCCAAGTCTATTCACATCTCTGAGCCCTCAAAGCCTCAGGAACTTGCAGCTGCAGGAACACCTGGAAATGGGGATGAATGGGAGTTAAAACAAGAAAGAGTGGAGCAAAAGCTTTTGAAAACTTGCAGACTCTGGATCCCCTACCTCCCTCCAAGCTGTTAGATCACTACTCCCATCCTCTCCCCAATCCCTAGCAAAAGTCCAAGGTTTATGCACTGGACTGGGAGAGGCAAACCACAGCTAAGAGCTGCTGTACTAAAAACGGGGACTACAGAGTCCTGGGACTCCCCCGCCCAGCTTCCTTCCCTTAATCAGTTCCAGAAGCCAATTGGCCAGAGCTTTTCACCAGGGAGGAGGTGGAATCTTTCTTAGGGATCCGGCCAGCCCAAATGCAAGACCTCAACTTACAAACACTGCTAGATTCGTCAAGTGACCCACCAAGATCTGGGAGCTTCTAATCTGCATTTTGGTACTTAATGATGATCTGATAAGTCACAGATCTGAAGACAGCTGAGGAATAGAGGAAACAAAGCAGACAAAAGAAAAAAAAAAGGCCACACACAGTGATTCAAGCCTGTAATCCGAACACTTTGGGAGGCCAAGGTGGGTGGATCACTTGAGGTCAGGAGTTCGAGACCAGCCTGGCCAACATGGTGAAACCCCATCTCTACCAAAAATACAAATATTAGCCGGGCATGGTGGTGGGCATCTGTAATCCTGGCTGCTTGGGAGGCTGAGGCAGGAGAATTGCTTGAACCCAGGAAGTGGATGCTTACAGTGAGCCGAGATTGTGCCATTGCCCTCCAGCCTGGGCAACAGAGCAAGACTCCATCTCAAAAAGAGAGAGAGAGAGAGAGAGAGAGAGAGAGAGAGAGAGAGAGAGAGAACAACAGTGTTAAAAAGAGACAGTGCAAGGTTATCAGGTTATGTCTGAAGAAAACCTTTACAAAGTATATTAACAACCTCAGAGAGAGAAGAGATATTATATCCATGAAGTGCCAACAAAGGAAACAGAGATAGAGTTAAAGGAGAGTTCTTGGAAATTAAAAGCACAAAAGAATGATTTTCAAAAAAGAAGAAGAAATGAAAGGATGGATTAGAGGGCAAAAGGGAGGAAGCCTCCTAGACAACAGAGCAGAAAGACAAAGCAAAGAAAAAGAGGACATAAAAGGTAAGAACATCGAAGATCAGTTAAAGAGATTCAACATAGGAATAAGAGGAGGCAAGGAAGAGAACGCAGAGGGAATGATTCATAAATGAAATAACTCAAGAACATTTCTCAGACATGAAGGACACCAGTTTTTGGATTAAAAACATTTGCAGTTACTCACCGCAGTGGTTGAAAACACCCACACGAAAGTACATTGCTGCCCAACTTCAAAAGCCTAGCGACAAAAAGAAGCTTCTGCAAGTTTCTGGAGAAACTAGAAGACAAGAAGTAATGCTTTCAAAATTCTGAAAAAAAAATTATCTCCAAACTCAATTCTATACCCAGATAAACTATTTCTTAAATGAGAAGGAAGAAAGACTTCCTTGGGCCTCTTCCCTTCCTTCGCAGAAAGCTCCTTGAGGCTGTGCTCCATAACAAGGGAGCAAAGCAAGAAAAAGATGACCATGGACACCGGAAGCCCAACCACAGGGAGAGAGCAGGAATCTGGGTGATGGTGACAAGCCATCCAGGCATCTACCGAGTCCCAGGCATCGACTTGAGGTGGTGTGAACATTTGTGGCCAAGCACCAGTGCAGGGCTCCCTATCTGTAAACACCATCTCTCGGAAGTGGACAGACAGGCGTGGCGGAAGTTGAAGGAGCCACCCTTCTACTGCCAAGTCCCACAGTGAGGCTGAGTGAGGAGAAACAAAGTACTGCACATTCCTACCACAAATGGCCAGGCCGGGCGTGGTGGCTCATGCCTGTAATCCAGCACTTTGGGAGGCCAAAGTGGGTGGATCACCTGAGGTCAGGAGTTGGAAACCAGCCTGACCAACATGGTGAAACCCTGCCTCTACTAAAAATACAAAAATTAGCCAGGCGTGGTGGTGAGCACTTGTAATCCCAGCTACTTGGGATTACTGAGGCACAAGAATAGCCTGCACCCAGGCAGCAGAGGTTGCAGTGAGCCAAGATCACACCACTGCACTCCAGCCTGGATGACAGAGCAAGACTCTAACTCAATTAAAAGCAAGCAAACAAACAAAAAAGCATGAATGGCTGCACTGAACCTAGGCCTCTGGCAAGAGCCTTCTCATACCGGCCCCCACAGACCACTGTGCAGGAGGAAACACAAATGAAGGGTTCTCTTCCATCTGCACCTGCATATAGGCAGCCTCTCCAGCTGTGCCAGTGAGCTTCGGGCAAAAGTGACAGTCTTCCTGCTCCTGTAGAGCATAAACACAGGACACAGGAGCAAATTCCAGAGTGTTCTGGGTGCTCTGGAAAACAGGTAATGGGGCTGAGAGTGACTGTGGTAGGGAGTGTGGGGCAGGCCCTCTAGGGAGGGGCATGTAAGCTGGGGCCTACATGATGAGACAAGTGAGTTGTGCAAATATCTTGGGGCAATGTATTGGAGGCAGAGGGGCAGCAAGTGCAAAGGCCCTGGGCTGTGGGGAATGAGCTCAACACATGTTGAGTGGAGAGGGAGGATGAGATGAGTCAGGAAGGGGTGGGGCAGGGCCTGGATCAGTTAGGGCTGTGGGGCCATGGTGAAGGGCTGGGGTGGCAGGCGACAGGAGAGTGTTAAGCAGAGGCAGGCCTTGATCTTATTTACGTGGTTTCACCATTAATGTCCTGGGATCGAGGTGCCTGATTGCCTTCCCACACTTCTTTCTCCTTTATGTTTTACTATAGTCTTGGACAAAGGGCTCAGCTTAAAGAAAACAAAAAGAAAGCAAAACAAAAACCACCCTACATTTCTCGCCTCTCTTACAGCTAGGTGTGGTCAGTGCACTAAATTCTGGCCATTGGGATGTAAGCAAATGTGTGTGGGACTTCTGGGCAGACTCCTTGAGAAGCAGGAGCTAGACCCTCTTTGCTCCTCCACTTTTCCCCTTCCAGCCTGACATCATGAATGGAAGCCCAGCCGTCTTTCTGGGCCACAAGGAGACCTTAGGATAGAGGCCACTTGCTAAGAAGGGGCAACAGAAAAATAGAAGGAACCTGGGTCTATGTTGCCCACACTGGTCTATGAGCCCTAGACAGCCAACCTCCCAGGCTTGTGTGTAAGAAGAGGTACCCTTTGGAGAAGAGGCCACCCTTCAGCTCAGCTTGACCACTGAGTCATCTCTAGGGTGGTTGAGGTCTTGCATCAGACCCTTGGAATCATTGGTAGTTTGCAGGTGTTAGCCTCTTTTCTGCCGGTTCCTCCATGCACAGACAGGCTGTAGGCACCTCGAAGAGGGCTGCTACCCTTGGAATCTCAGAGTGTGAAAGAGAAGAGGCCCTTGCCGGACTCCCAGGAAAGTGCACCCACTTCCTTGCTGAGGGAGGGGATTCCGGAGTCTTCTCTTTCCTGTTTCATGGGAAAAGAGAGTTGCGATGAGTGAAATGACAAGGGGTTTTCTATGTTTAAACTTTTATATTCTACCCCTTACTTGGCAATGGAACCCCAGGCTATGTTTTTTACACACATAGAATTCCAAGTCCAGAGTTGAAATTTGAGAGCTGAGGCTTCACCAGAATCTCTGGGGTGGGGGGAGGGGAGGGTCAGCTCATTAAAAATTCAGATTCCCAGGCCCCTCCCGGAATCCACAGTCCAGCAGAGCTTCCTGCTTTCCCTCCCACGGCCTTCCCCTCTTTGGGGCTGGTCAGTCCTGGCTCAGGGATGGCTCAGGCTCCAGATCAGACCTCCTCCTGCTCTTCTCTAAGCCACCCCCCACAGCCACTCATTACCAGAGGCTGCCCCTCACCTGCACCCCTGGTCCAAACCCCCTCCTCTCTCACTTCAGCCTCCTAAGTTTTCTGTCACCTCCTCCCCAGTCTCTCCATTCCATAGGAGCATCCTGGGTGGTATTTTCTAATGTAAGTCAGATCACAGAACTCCTGGGCTGAAGATTCCAGTGACTTTCTGGCTACAGTGGAAGGAAATCCAAACTCTTTTCCAGGGCCACACAATTTCCCCCACTCGCTTGCTCCGTCTGCTTCTGTCACTTCCTCCAAACCTCCGAGGCTGCCCCTGACTCCCGGCCTTTTCCACTGCTGTGTCTTAGCTGGCCTGCTAGGCCAGGTATCCTCAGCAGCTCAGGCCTCAGCTCCCCACCTCCCTCTCCCGCCCCAGGTCCCTGCTCCACTGGCTGCTGACCACATGCTGTCTTTCTCGTTTATTTATCTGCTGGCCTGCCCATCGTCGTCTTCCTTCTCCACTGGAACATGAGCAGGAACCTCCGAGGACATACCCACCAGATCCCCGGGGCACAGAGGAACGAACCTGGCACATAGTAAGTCCTTCAGAAACAATGCTGAATGGACAGACAAACATGTGCAATGCTTGCCTCACCCCTCACTGTCCCCTTTGGCCACAGTCCACACGCAGCTCTCCGCTGCTGTATCAGGCCCTGCCCCCAACGCCTCACTGCAGGGAGGGGGGACCTGTATGTAAAGGTTTCCTCCCTTCTTTAGCTCCAGGCGCTAAGCTGGCACCTACCTCCCCACTTCCTTCCTAAGGGTGCAGCTCTGGGAGTTCTCAGTCGCTCCCTCTGTAGACGGATCTAAAGGCCCAAATAGTAACACGCCACTCAGAGCTGCTACCTGGTGGGGGTCGTTCCACTCTTTCTATTCAGAAGATGTTTTCCCAGGCTCCTCCTGGTGTTAAATCATTCCTCCAAATTAGCAGGAACACTCATTACCAACCCAACCACCTCCATTAGGCAGGAAATATGTCTTTCTCGTGGCTGCTCCCCCCAGACCCAGGGCCATCCCCCAGTGCTCCCTGGATGGGGGTGGGTGGGAAACTGGCTGGAAGCAGGGGGTGGAGCAGGCGCCACTCCTAACTGGCAGGAAGCACTGAGCCCTGCCGGGGTGCCAGATAGTCACCGTGGCTTCAGGCTCCTCCTCTGCGCCCTTATCCCTGGGTGCCCCCAGACCCCTGCTCAAAGGGCACACAAGCGCCCTCACTTGTGGGCCCTGCCTCTCTAGTCCTGCATCCATACACAGGCCTGTGTGATGGGTTTTAAGGAAGGCAATGAGGGCAGGGGCACTTGTAAAGCAGTGAGAGACCAGACATCCCTTACTTAAGGAGTTCTGTCTTTCCACATTCCAAAGTTTGGATGTGAGCTTTCAAAACGGCTGTGGATGCCCTCGGTCTCCAGGCCCTCAGGGGTCCCCGCTGTCCAGCCGAGGGCCTGGAAGCTGTCCTGAACTGGGTCTCCCAACAGGTGTGTTGGAGGACTCCAGCTCACTGTGGTTTTCTAACGAGTTACTCACCAGACTGTCTTCCGGGAACAGAAAGTGATTAAAAACCAGGCGTGAAACGGCTCATCCTACACAATGGGTGTAATAAATATTAGATAACAACAGCAAGGACAATAACAATTTTACCTGCATCTCCCAGGTTATCTAAGGAAGTGTCAGCAGTACAGTTACAGAATGCAGAAAAATGCAACATTTGGCTGCTTTAAAAGAGCCTCCTTTGGCTCATTAGTGGGGTGTGTGCCCTGGGGTGGGGGACAGCATTTATTCAGCTCTGGAATTTCCATCACGCAGCAGCTCCACACATCATGCTGAGTTCTCCTAAGCACGAGGGAGCCCTTGAGGTCCCCGCATGGGGAAAGCTCCTCCAAATCTATGGGAGGATGTGTCTAATTGTTCGTTTATCCAATCAGTATTTGTTGAGCTCCTACTGTGTGCCAGGCTGTGAATACTCAACGGAAACAGTTCGGGGTCGGCCCTGGTGGAGTTTCATCTGCTGTGGTGGAAATGGCACACAAACAAAACCCGAAGCAAGCCCAGGAACTTGTGAGAAATGCAGATTCCCAGGCCCCACCCAGACCTGCCAGCTGAAGAGCTGTTCTGCTGCCCAGCCATCTGGATGTCCCAAGTCCTCCCGAGGAATCTGATGGCTACTTTAATGGTGCAGGAGCTGGACCTGAATGATAGGGAGTGGTGAGCCTTGACAAGCCCAAGGGGAGTGTTCTGGACAGAGGGCACAGCAGGGCATGGTCCTGTGCCAGGCAGGGGGCCCGTCTAAGGGAGAGCCAAGCGATGGGCCCAGTGAGCTGCAGCCCGGAGCAGTGTGGGTGACACTGGGGCAGCTGGCTGGGGCTTCTCAGACCTTGCAAAGACATTTGGATGTTGCTGTTCCAGAGGTGTTGCTGCTCTCACCTGCCTGCTGGCGTGGCCTGCTGTGGCATGGAAACCTCAGACCTCATCTTCGCCTTCTTTCTGAGGAGAGGGCAGGGATCAGCTGTAACTCCTGCCCCACGTCTCAAGAGTTTTCAGATTCCATCCTGTACCTGGCTGGGTTCACTGCACTTCTCTCCCCCTGCCTAGGAGAGTAGGAGAAGGATGTAGGAGAGGCTCCGCTTTTCCTAGAAACACAGAAAGGGGTGTGGAGGGGACAAAGGTGGTAGGACCCTAGGGAAAGGCTGGGCCAGCCCAGGAAAAACAAGCCATGGTGTCGGGATGCGGGAGGGGCAGGAGCCTGGGAGTAAGTAAGGAGAGACTCATTGTCCCGGTGCCCATGGAGAGCTGGGCTGGCCCTGGAACCACCGTCAAGCTGTCTGGCTGCTGGAGGCTGCTGTGAGCCCTCGTCACTCCCTCCTCGCTCCATCCTGCTGCCATGGTGAGGCGCAGAGCAGTGCAGTGTGGCCACTGCTAAATCCATCCCAAGCCACCTCACAGGCCACTCAAGCGATGTGCAGCCCCAGGGGACAGACACATGAGTCCCAGGGGCCCCACTGGGACAGCTCTTCTGCAAGTCAGCTCATAAGCCCACCCCATGGGCACTGCCTTGGAGAGCAGGTCAACCCCACCTTGCAGAAGTCTCCTGCCCTGCTTGTAATTCCAGCAGCTCCGGCTGGGGGCATAGACAAGCCAGCCTGCCAAGCAGAGGTCCCTGCCCAGAAGGTAGGCCACAAAATGCAAGGAGGGCTTAATGACCTCAGAAACTGGGAACTGGTCAGGCTCCGTGGCTCACATCTATAATCCCAGCACTTGGGAGGCCAAGGCAGGAGGATCACTTGAGCCCAGGAGTCTGAAACCAGCTTGGGCAATGTAGCGAGACCTGTCTCAAAATAAGAAAAATGAAAAGAAAAGAAAAATCTGAAATAGCATGTCGTGAGCTCTGTGAGGCCACTCTTTCAGTCTTCCCATTTTCAAAGTCTTTCTTGAGTACCCATTATCCACTGGGAACTGTTCTAGGCCCTGAGGATCTCCCATCTGTGAGTAAGACAAGACAGGTCCCCGCTTCCCTGGAACTTCCGGTTCTAATGGGATGAGATAATAACATGAGGCTAGTAAATGGGAAAATGCCAGTGAGGATGCCAGGCCGTAGGGTGATGTTTCTGGGGGTGGAGGGCTACTAGGCAAAGCCCTGGAGGACCTGATGTTTTTCCTGAGACTTGGATGTTGAGAGGAGCAGAGGGTACAGTGAGTAGGAAGACCCTGACAGCAGTGGGCCCATTACCCCCTGCAAGGAAACCAGGCCTCAGAAGAGGTGACACAGTCACTGTCTCTTCTTCCCTGGAACAAGCCCAACTACTCACCTGCATGAGGTTTCTCCTGGTGCCAAGGAAGAGTCAGAAAAGAGATCAAATCAAATAGAACCAGCCTGGCATTTTCACTCTGTTTGCAGGCCCGTGGAGCTCACATTTAGGGGGCAGGGGAGGTAGTACCGGCAGAGAAGTGAACCTAGGGGTTACAGAACACACCAGCCAGACACGGCGAGGGTCCCCGCTCTGTCGCTCACCAGCTGTGTGGCCTAGGCAATTGCTTCCCATCTCTGGGCCTGCATTTCCTCACCTCTATCTTGCTTTTTTGTTGTTTTTTTTTGAGACAGAGTCTTGCTCTGTCCCCGAGGCTGGAGTGCAGTGGTGCCATCGTGGCTCACTACAACCCTTGCCTGCCAGGCTCAAGCGATCCTCCCACTTCAGCCTCTTGAGTAGCTGGGACCACAGGCATGCACCACTGCCCCCAGCTAATTTTTGTATTTTGTGTAGAGACAGGGTCTTGCTATGTTGCCCAGGCTGGTCTCAAACTCCTGGGCTCAAGTGATCCTCCTGCCTCAGTCTCCCAAATTTCTGGGATTACAGGCATGAGCCACCTCACCTGGTCTCTATCTTGTTAAGTATAATTCCTGAACACAGTATTTTTGAAGTAGCTGGCGGAGGTGGCTCCTCCATCTGCAGTGGCTGTGATTGCAGTACCCTACTTAGAGCCATGCTTTGCGTTGTTCCGCAGGGTTTATTATGTGCCTCCTGACCACGGGAACAGTAGAGGACAGGATTCCCGTGCGCAAGCTCTGCACATGGGGGAAGAGGCACCTGTGGAGAGCATGGCAGAGCATGCGTGGTGCTGGCAGAGTCAGAGAGGACAGGGTCACTGTGGG